AGAAAAAAAGAAACCAGGACTGGGGACTCAGGGGATAGAGCTCAGAAGGCAGACACCCCAAGTTTCCTGGGCTGAGTCATTTTCTCATGTACAGGAGGACATCTTTCCCACATAAACATTTGCCTTGCCTGGTGGGAAGACAGTTGACACACCCTATTGGAAAATACCTTTCCCAGAGGCCACTTAAGAGATTAATAATAACAATTAGCCTGCAGGGAGAAGCAACTGCCCCACCCTATTGAAAAAACTCTCACCACACCTGAGGATGATTGCCTGGGGGGCAATTCAAGTCGGAATCCTATCAGTCTGTAGGCAAAGTCAGTCTCTGGAGACTTTGAGTCTGCCTGATCTAATTAGTCAGAAACAGCCTTTAACACTGTCCTGCACTAGAGATTGAGAGGTGTAGAGGATCTACTTAATACATAGTCACAAACCCAAATAGAAAGCCAAAATAAGGAGACAAAGAAACAACCCCCAAATGAAAGAGCAAGAGAATTCTCCAGAAGAAGAGATAAATGAAGCAGAGATAAGAAATTTATCTGAAACAAAGTTCAGAGTAATGATGGTAAAGATGCTCAATAGCATGAAAAAAAGATATAGTGACTATGAAAAAAATAACAGTCTGAGATAAAGAATGACATCGCACAAATAAAGAACACGTTGGAAGGAATACACAGCCGATTAGGGGAAGCTGAGGGTCAAATCAGTGCATTAGAAGACAGAGTTGAAAATATCACTCAATCAGAGCGATTAGGGGAAGCTGAGGATCAAATCAGTGCATTAGAAGGCAGAGTTGAAAATATCACTCAATCAGAGAAACAAAGAGAAAAAAACAATTAAAAAACAGAAGGACAGCTTAAGGTAGCTGTGGAACGTAGTAATATTAGAACAGCAGGTGTGCCTGAAGAGGCAAAAAGGGAGAAAGGAATAGAGAATGTGTTTGAAGAAATGATGGCAGAAAACTTCCCCAACCTGATAAAGGAAAAAGTCACACAAGTTCAGGAGGCACAGAGAACCCCAAGCAAGAAGAACCCAAACAGGCCCACCCCCAGACACATCATAATTAAAATGCCAAAAATTAAAGACAAAGAGAGAATCTTAAAGTCAGCAAGAGAAAAGAAAACTATTACCTACAAAGGAGTTCCCATAAGGCTGACACCTGATTTCTTATTAGGAACTCTACAGGCCAGAAGGGAATTGTATGAAATACTCAAGGTAATGGAAAACAAGGATCTGAGACCAGGATTACTATATCCAGCAAGGCTATCATCCTAAACAGATGGTCAAATAAAGAGCTTCCCAGACCAAAAAAAAAAAAAAAGCTAAAGGAGTACATCACCACCAAGCCAGGATTACAAGAAATGCTAAAGGGGCTGCTGTAATGAGAAGAAGAAACAGAGAGATAAACCTAGCCATACAGAATTAAAATGGCAATCAATAAGTACCTATCAATAATAACCCAAATGTAAATGGATTAAATGCTTTGTAGCTGAATGGATACAAAAACATGACCCAACTAAATGCTGTCTACAAGAGACCCACCTCAAAACAAAAGACACACAGAGGATGAGAGTGAAGGGATAAAAATGCTTGTGACCCAAAAATGCTTGTGCATACTGGTTGAAAATCGCTGGTTTAGTGTGATAAGGAACGGTCATATCAGTGAATTTCATGCGCATGGGCCCATTGGTGTACTACATTTGCTGTGAAGCAATTTCTCTGATAAGAACTAATGCTATGTGCAATACTATGACAGTAAATGAAGCATATTGAAAGTATGCAGATGGTGTGTACACAGAATGGTAAAGTGTCACTTCCAGTGAGTATAAAGTGTTGTACCTTCCATAATGGAAATGTTTCATCTAATCAGTGTGCCACAGGAAGCTGGCTAATTACCCCAAGGAATGATGCCATATCAAGGGCTCAGTGTTGGTCTATGTTTTGGCAAAGTGGCCATTCAGCGGTCGACAGTAGCTGAGCTGATGAATAACCTCCAACTTTGCTGGATGCCCACTTTGTTCATGAGCAAGGAGAGCAGTGGCTGGGGAAAAAGGCTGGCTGACTCCAAAGAACTAGTCACTTTGCCTGTATGATTGTTTAGAGTCTTCTTTGCTGAGATTGCTTTCGGGTGAGCATCCATATGGACACAAATATATACACACTTGGTGTGCATTTGGGGGTGGGTGGTTTGACCTCTTCTCCAGACTTTCTTGTCACCAATTTTCTAACCATGTTCTTTCCAAATTCCTGACCATCCAGTCAAACATCAGTCACTGCCCATCTGTAGATCTGTACCTCTGATCATCTTTCCTTCCAGGCACAATCTACAACCATGTATGCTGCTTGAGATTCTGTCCCATGGAAGGATTTATCTTCATGCCTGTCCTTCAGGGCCACCCCTGAGTGAGGCCAATGTCTATATGGAATTTCTTATAGGTCACACTTTGAACTTCACTTCTTGAGATCTGCTAGGTCTTGACTTTGACCAATAAAATGAAAAATAACTGATGCTGTATGACTTACAAGACAAGGTCTTAAGAAGCCTTGCAACTTCTACTTTTTCTCTCTTTGGTATTTTGAAACTCCATGCTGTGAAAAAACTCAAACTGAAAGTATATGTGGAGATAGAGTCCCAGCCAACACAGATGTTCCAACATTCCAAGCTCAGCTGATCTGGCAGCTGACTATAGGCACATATGCAATACCAGCAGAAGTTCCTTGTCAACCCATAGAAAACAGTTGTTGCTTTAAGTTTGGGGTGGTTTGATACAGTAATCCACATATTTAGAAGATACTATCCAGATTTTAAACCATCATAATTTTTTGATACTCAATTTTGGGTTTTACTTCAAGGAAATTATATCTTCCTTGCAGAAATAATATCTATGTTGATAGTGACTGCATCTTCTTCCACAGGCAGTTAAAATGGGGCTTCAAATTGTCCTGTTGGTACTATGGATTTACTTCAATTTGAATTTATTTGATTTGACTTAACATAAGCAAACTAAGACGGGGGGCAGTTTACCAAGAGTTATTAGGGGTTTTTGGGGGGATAGGACATGACGAGTGCGTTACCAAAGAAACAGTTTTCAAAAATTGAAGAATTTTTTGGAATTGTTTGACTAACTTTGTGCCAACATGAAAAATAGACAGGGTTTGTAAATCAGTGGAATTACTTAACAGGAATGAAGAGGATTCTATAATGATGATAATAGATAATATTTATTGAGTGCTTTCTTGTGACAAAGATTGTTCTACATTGTGCATTACAAATATTAACAGATTCATTTTTCACCAACCTGTAGATAGTTACTATCACTCCCATATTTTAGATAAGCTGAGGTTAAGCAACTTGTCCAGGGTCACACAGCTAGCAAGTACTAACAGTTGAACCTGGACAATAGTATGCCAGAGTCAATGTTCTTAATCACTAGCTTGTATTTTGTCTTTCTCCTAGATTACTCTGGAGTATACAGAAGTGACCCAACCAAAGTTCTAGATATTTTATTTATAGCTGTTAGTAATACAATTACAAACTTAAGGCTAAAACTTGTTGTGAGAATAATACCAACATTGTATGGCTTGTCAAAGGAAACCCTGCATCGATCATATATCTAAAATCTAGTTTACATATATAAAATCTGTTTTATAGTTTTTACTCCTTTTGCCCAGTTTTGACCATAAAATTTTATGTTTGAACCTTTAGAATATCGCTATTTTCCAATACTTTAAAAGTCTGATTGATATAAGAAGACAAGGAGAACCACGTCACATAATAAGATGTATTAATCCTAAAGAGGTAAGGACATTATTTATTGATACAGCACTTTCCCCTCTTAAAATTGTGTGGCTACTTTATAAATTCAATGTGATTATATTTGTTCCTTTTACAAACATTTTTAATGAAGTATTGTACACATCTAAAAAATTCATTATACATAAATGTATAATGTATAACCATCATACTTCAAACCAGTGCCTTCAGTTGCTCTGCAATTCACTGCCAACTTCCTTTCTTCCACTATTTTGAATTCTAATATTGTACGTTAGTTTTCTGTTTTTAAACTATATATCAATAGAATCCTATAGTGTACTTTTGTATCTAGCTTTGTTCATTCAACATTATCTTTGTGTAGCTAAATTTCATTCACTTTGTTAAAAATAATGGAAGTACTCTGTTTTATTAATATACTAGAGGCCCGGTGCACAAAAATTTGTGCACTCAGGGGGGTCCCTCAGCCTGGCCTGTGCCCTCTCGCAGTCTGGGACCCCTCGAGGGATGTCCCCCAGCTGGCTTAGGCCAGCTCCCTGGGGGATTGGGCCTAAGCTGGCAGTCAGACATCCCTCTGGCAGCCCGGGAGACCTCGGGGGAGGTCCACTTGCCAGCGGGGACCAGGCCTAAGTTGTAGTTTGACATCCTTAGCACTGCTGAGGAGGCGAGAGAGGCTCCCACCACCACCGCTGCACTGGCAGCCGTCAGCCTGGCTTGTCAGAGCTCCCCCTGTGGGAGCGCACTGACCATCTGGGGGCAGCTCCTGCATTGAGCGTCTGCCCCCTGGTGGTCAGTGTGTGTCATAGTGACCAGTCATTCCCAGTCGTTATGCTGTTAGGGTCAATTTGCATATTAGCCTTTTATTATATAGGATAGAGGCCTGGTGCATGGGTGGGGGCCGGCTGGTTTGCCTGAAGGGTGTCCTGGATCAGGATAGGGGTCCCGCTTGGGTGCCTGGCCAGCCTGGGTGAGAGGCTGAGGGCCGTTTTCAGACTGGCCACACCCCCTTCAGGGTGGGGGTCCCCGCTGGGGTGCCTGGCCAGCCTGGGTGAGGGGTTGATGGCTGTTTGCAGGCTGGCCACAGGCTCTTCAGGGTGGGGGTCCCTGCTGGGGTGCCTGGCCAGTCTGGGTGACGGGCTGATGGCTGTTTTCAGGCTGGCCAAGCCCCCCAGCGGGGACCCTCACCCATGAGAGTGTGGCCATCCTGGGTGAGGGGCTGATGGCTGTTTGCAGGCTGGCCACAGCCCCAACCACCCATGCTCCCAGTGGCGGCTGGCTGGAAGCAGGTATCTGGGACTTATTTATCTTCTATAATTGAAACTTTGTTGCCTTTAGCGGAGGCTACAGCCGGCTAGGGTAGGCGGGAAGTTTGGCTTCCTCCATCGCCGGGGTAACCAAGCCTTCTGCTTGGTCCAGCTCCATGGCTTCCGGCCGCCATCTTTGATGGCTTAATTTGCATATAGTCGCTCTGATTGGCTTGTGGGTGTGGCTCATGGGCGTGGCTTGGGAGTGTGGTGGAGGTATGGTCAATTTGCATGTTTCTCTTTTATTAGGTAAGATTGCTATTCATTCTACAGTTGATTGACATTTGGATTTTTTTTAAAATTGAGGTTATTATAAAGATTGCTTCTGAGATTATTCTTATTTTTGTCTCCTGGTGCACATATGTATGAATTTCTTTTGATTTCTACTCCACCTGGAAATGGAATTGCTGGGTGACAAGATATGCCAAACTGTTTTCCAAAGTTGAACTAATTTGTATTCATCGTCAGAGGTCTTTTGGAATTCTTGGTGCTCTACACCCTCACCAGCACTCAATATTGTCAGTTTTTAAATTTGCATTTCCCTGATTACTAATTAAGTTGAGCATCTTTTTGAGGAGTTCAGGTCCTGGTTAAAATCCTATGTGACTTTTCAGGCCTGATTCCAGGCAGTTACAAAGGCTAACTGGCCTCGGGAAAGAAACCATACTTGGCACACAGCCAGAGTATTATAGCCTCTGAAGGGAGATGCACTAAAGGACTCAGGCCCCCTGGTGGGACCTGCTTTTGGAACTTACACTGCTACCAAAGTATCTTCATTCCTAAGTCTCTTTTTCTGAAGCCTTGGGCAGAGGTATTCAGGTACCTTTGCAGATACCTTCTTATAGTAGAATTCTTGAAGACATTTTCCCTACTCTGACTCAGTCCACTCTGACCCTCCTTCATCAATACCACCCCACCCCCACTCTCACCACACACACATGTACACTTCAGAGTCTATTAAACAGCCAGAGCCTTTTGTTCTGGACGCCCTCAACAGTGAGAGGACACCCACATATTCGCTGATGCACCTGACTCTCTACCACTGGGAAGTTCCATGGGGAAAAATGGAACAAGTGAGATGTTGCTTCTTTCAGTTTTAGACACATTAACTCTTGCTTATATTATTGGGGAAAATAATGAAAAGCTTCCTTTTCTGCCTTGGCTACTGTGGCTCAGTTGGTTGGGCATCCCGTACACCAAAATATTTAGAGTTTGATTTCTGGTCAGGCCCCAGGTTGCATGCTCAATCCCCGGTATGGGGCATGCAGGAGACAACTGCTTAATATTTCATTCTCACATCAATGTTTCTCCCTCTCTCCTTCTCTTTTCCTCTCTTTCTAAAAAAAATCAATTAAAAAAGAGAAAATATTCTTGAAATAGACATTGGCTAAACTATATTGCAAATACCACTAATAGTACATTTTTGTAGTGTGTCTTACTATACTTTTTTATATTTAAAAATATTGGGATTTTTTATTGTATTGTATTGAATATTTAGATCAATTTGAGGAAAACTGACATTTTAATATTGAGAGCTCCAACCCATGATTGTGGGAAACATGGAGATGTGCTGCCCAGATTCTTCTTTATAAGAGGATTTTACGCAGTCACAGGGAGTGCCACCAGCAGACAGCCCCCAGCTGTGAGCATCTTCAGTTTCTATTTTACCTGCAGAGAACTGTTACCCAAGGTCATCTATTTCTAAGGCAGTTGGCATCCAGTGACTGAGCAGTATGGGGGAAGGACAGGGGGAGGGGAATGGGGAAAGGAATGTAAAGACCAGTCTGAGGTAGAACAACTCTGTTGGGCAATATTCACTTTAGAGCTCCCAGCAAGATTGGCCCAGGTGTTGAGGGGTCTGCATTGCAGTTCAAATCCTTCCTTTCCCTGGCTTTCATAGGTGTTTATTCCTAATAAACATGTGACACACAAATTTCATATCAGCATCTTCTTCCAGAAACCCCAATCTGCCATGTTATTTAGCTCTTCCATACTTTCTCTCAATAATGCTGTATTGTTTTCTGTATAGAGGAGTTGAATATCATTTGTTAGCTTTATATCTTGCATTTTCATGCAGCAATAATGGTAATTAGAAAACTTTAGATGGACATGCTCCCAGGAACAAACTGGAATTACACTAAAATACAGAAAAACTTCCTGAATAATCAATGGAAAACTCACAGGAGAGAACATTGATACCCGAGGACCAAAAGTAGAGACCACATAGAGACTGGTAGGAGGGGCAGAGGTGTGAAAGAGCTGGCCAGGCACCCACAGACAGCAACTGAAGTCCCGAAGAGATATCTCAGCTGTGGGGGGAAGGGTTTGCCACTGAGAACTCTGGGACCTAATCCCCAAGCTGGGCCCCCAGCAGAAAGCACCAAATCTGAGAAGGGTACCCACATAACATCTGGCTATGAAAAGCAACAGGATGCTGTCTGCCAGGGAGTAAGAGCTGAAAATCCAGGCATCCTGTTATAAAGCCAATGCACAAAATTCCCTGTGGAGCTACCCACCTTGTGCTCAGGCAGAGGAAGGGTGAAGTGGACTGGAACTATGAGAGTAGAAGCCAGGACTGGGGACTCAGGGAATAGAGCTCAGAAGGCAGACACCCCAAGTTTCCTGGGCTGAGTCATTTTCTCATGTACAGGAGGACATCTTTCCCACATAAACATTTGCCTTGCCTGGGGGGAAGACAGTTGACATACCCTATTGGAAAACACCCTGCCCTGAGGCCACTTAAGAGATTAAAAATAACAACTAGCCTTCAGGGAGAAGCAACTGCCCCACCCTATTGAAAAACTCTTGCCACACCTGAGGATGATTGCCTGGGGTGGGGCGGGGCAATTCAAGTCAGAATCCTATCAATCTGTAGGCAAAGTCAGTCTCTGGAGACTTTGAGTTTTTGCCTGATCTAATTAGTCAGAGACAGCCTTTAACACTGTCCTGCACTAGAGATTGAGAGGTGTAGAGGATCTACCTAATACATAGTTACAAACCCAAACAGAAAGCCAAAATGAGGAGACAAAGAAACAACCCCCAAATGAAAGAGCAAGAGAATTCTCCAGAAGAAGAGATAAATGAAGCAGAGATAAGAAATGTATCTAAAACAAAGTTCAGAGTAATGATGGTAAAGGTGCTCAACAGTATGAAAAAGGTATCTCTCTATATAAAACCCTAATATGCAAATAGACCAAATGGCGGAACAGCTGAACAACTGGTAGCTATGATATGTGCTGACCACCAGGGGGTGTGCGCAGGACATGCTGGGTAGCGGCAGAGCATGGAATATGGTGGGCATCGGCCACGGTAGGATGGTGGAGCAGGTGAGTGGGGGCACCAGAATAAGGCAGGTCACTGGTGCTGTCATCAGGGCTAGCCTCTAGTGGTTACTGAAAATTCTTTGATCCCGTGTACCACAGTCCTGCTGAGTGCTTGCACCACCTGCTGGCACTAGCCCCACTTGCACACACAGATGGTGCCGGAACCACTGCTCACACCCGCTGGCTGCACCCAGCGCCAGTCCAGATCACTCTGGCTTCACCACCTCCCCCTGCTCCTGAGGGGCAATTTGGGCAGCAGCCGCTGTTTGCACCCACTGACAGCACTGGCCCCACTCAGACCCGCTGCTGGCGCCAGCCCCAATTGTTCCATGCCATCAATGCGTGTAAGTGGGACCATCGCCATCAGCACATGGGAGTGGCGGTGGCAGAAGCGGGGTTG